AGTTGCACAAAGACGGTCATATAGGCGGTTATGAACTAGCTGGCGCTTAAGATTACTCGGTGGTATTTCAACTACGCTCACCAATTTCTCTAAGCTCGCCCTTCTTAAGCAGCGTTTTATAGCTGTACTTATATCATTTGAGATGAAGGGTAGGATGAACGGGACCCTTCTATCGCTAGAGTTACCGTTTGAAGGCCTAGGATTTCTTCTACACCTATCCTGAGCTACAGTTTCGTAGCCATTAGAAATGGCTTTTTGCCGTGCCAAGTTCCGGGACTCCTCTCTCTGCTCTCTTCCCGTGCACACGTTGGTTGCTCTTCGAAACATGTTTCTCAGAAGCGCCCTTTTCGTGTGAGAGGGGTGAGAGGAGAGGTAATGAACCAAGATGTTTTTACTACTTGGCTTTCGGTACCACTTTGTAATGTAGCCATTTTCTGATAAGTGAATTTGTACGTTCAAAAATGGAAGCCATTTTTCTTTGGGCTTTTCTCGGGTGATCTTGATATACTCTGACTGTGTGTTTAACAATTCGAAGCATTTGTCCATTTCCTCTTGTGTTAAGCAAAGGACAAAGCAGTCGTCTACATACCTACAGTAGAGTAGCGGTCCGAGATCAGTCACCGGTGCTTCCACCTTAGACATAAATGCAATGGCAAGGCTTGGAGCCAGTCGTTGTCCCATTGCCAGCCCTCTTATTTGAGCGTAGTACTTTCCAGACCATCTGAAGATTGAGCAGCTTAAGCATTCTTTTAAGAGTGCCATTAACTGCTCTATCTTGAAGCCATACATGTTTATTTCTTCTTCGTATTGTGTAGGGGGTTCGAATATGGCTTGCATTGCGAAGTCGTTCGACACGTTTGTATAAAGGGCGGTAACGTCAAAGGACCCCATCACGCACGCGCTGTTGGGCTGCGCAGTACGTAGACGATCCAGAAACATCTGGGTATTCGTAAGATGGTCGCATATGGTTTACATGAACTTATATCCTACCCTTCATCTCAAATGATATAAGTACAGCTATAAAACGCTGCTTAAGAAGGGCGGGCTTAGAGAATTCGGTGAGCGTAGTTGAAATACCACCGAGTAGTCTTAAGCGCCAGCTAGTTCATAACCGCCTATATGACCGTCTTTGTGCAACTCAAAATTCCATAATTTCCCCAGTAGTAGAGGCGGTAATTGCATGAGCTCGGGTGTAGTTTATTTGATCGTGCGGAGACGAATACATTGGCGAAACGGGCAGATCCCTCTGTGTCCGCATAAAAGAGCACCTAACCGGCAGACATAGACCAAATACCCCGCTAGTCACGCATAGGACCCAGAGACATAACGGGGAGGACTTTGAAGTATGTGTCACGATCCTCGCACACGAATCAAGAACACACGTGCGAAAAACTCTCTAGGCATTCTGGATTAATTCCAGAAATCCGAAAATGAACCGCAGGGAAGAATGCCTCATTATCAAGCGTGATATAGGGCAGTATATAAGACTGCTATTCTGATGAGAGGGGCACATTATGCTTCCATGTGAATTCTGTGCGGTCGGTCTCTACGTGACATACTTAGTGGAAACCTCATAGGAAGCGGTGAGTGTGCAAAGCTGTGTTCAAAGTGATTGAAATCTTGGTTTGGAGTTTCTTTGTTTGGTTATGGAGGCGTCTGGCCGAGTGAGTTGCTATCAACTTGACCTTTCCAGGCTCTGAGGAAGGCGAAATCCGCCGAAACGTCAGCTTATTCGTGAGTAAAGAATAATAACACCTCGCATTTGCTCAACAAAAATACGAAGAATTACTTGATCAATGCCGAGGTTAATAGAAAGTCGGTCGTGGGAGTTACTCATAAAGATTTCGTATTACCTGAACGTCACCAAATTTAGTGTCAATATAAAATCCGTCCCCAGATTTACTGTCCACCGCTGGAAATTCATATTTGAAAGCAAATCTCCTTTAGATTCTCTTAATCTCCAAATGTTTCATTCACCTCAAAAATTCTATTCTTTGAACACTTCTTATAAACACTGAGTTACGTCTAGGTCTTATCTTGACACTTACTCCCGTTTTGTGCCTGTGCTGTCGGTGGCTGTGGTCGATCGGCAGGTGTAGTTTCCGGAGCATACATTGCATCGACGTGATTATGTGGTTTGAAGTTTTGTAAAGGTGGAAGCACCCAACGTCCTCCTACAGGTGGCCGTTTACCATTGCTTAGCTTTGTTTCCGGTTCCACAGGACGATAATCCATCAAATCCAGAACAGTATTGTTGGAGTAGTGATCATCTACAGGTGGCTGAAAGAACCAACAACAACTCCTTTGCTAAACGAACAATAAAATAACAAGGAACTCATGTTTCTAAGAACGAGAAGTGTTGAACCTGACTATTTATATAGAGAGATGTTAGGCATAAAACGTCATGATGGTGCTGAAATTCATATTCATCTCATAAAGTGACTTACGAAAACCTATTGTTGCATTAAGTCCGCGTTATTATCTTGGCAGACAAAATTGGCATCAATTTCCAGACCCGAAGGCTTAGGTAGCGCGGGCACGGGGCCCAAACAGCTAACACGCGTGTTTTTGCAGAGCACTTCTAACAAATACACTAGACACAGGCAAATTACGACTAAATCTATTACTAGGCAAATTTTTCGAGAAAGATCGAATGGCAAGTACTATTTGAAAATTTTCTTTCCAAGTGTGTTACCCAGCCAATTAATAAGTTTTGCTTGTGAACGGTGTTCCCGTACTTCGAGAAAGAACTGGATTCATAGAGTTGATGTAGTAACTTCGTTGAACGAGCGTTTTTTTCTGCATTTATTTGAACTCTGACAAAAGCCCAAGAGGATTTTGTAGTTTTAGTATCACTCGTGACCATCGCAAAATGGTGAGCCCATTTGAACTTCAATAAGAGTATTATGTACTATAACAAAAAACATTATACATTATACTTAAGACATTATACTTCCATATGATTTCTGTGCGGTTGGTCTCTACGTGACATACTTAGTGGAAACCTCATAGAAAGCGGCTCTGAGGAAGGCGAAATCTGCCGAAACGTCGGCTTATTCGTGAATAAAGAAGAATAACACCTCGCGTTTGCTCAACAAAAATACGAAGTATAACAAAAAAGTAATAGCGGAGCGTATGTACCGTAGTGGAAAGAGTGACCACTGGTTCTATAAAGTGTCATTAAGCTTTCCATCCTTTCGGAGATGGCAAATTAGTACGAGACTTGTAGGCAAAGATAATAGAACTGACTTGGTGCATCAAAAAACCTACGCGAACCAATGTATAGGCCAGATCTGCACTTAATCACTTCTAGTGATTCTTAGTGAAGTCGAATGAATGACACATCCCTCGGTGATTGACCAACACCAAGAGTTTTATCCTTTATTTTTTATTAACAAAAACGGCTTATTACGTAACGGTTAGTGAAATTTGCCAAGCGTTCGTGAAATCTAGCAGTTTGGCTAAAAATTTCCAAGATAGATTCTACCTCATGACTGATTTTCACATTGACAGCAATGCTGTAGCCATGATCAAGTGAAGAAAGCAAGCTAATCTTTTTGACTTAATAACAACGGTATCGTCTGATTAGGACAAAGTGAGCTTAACTGTCATGATTTCATACGGCATCTTGTTCTGCCCTAGCTTTTTTGGAAAGGAGAAACATTATTATCCAATGAATACTTACAAGTCGTCTCTTTTTTGTTATGTCTTAAATACAAAGAAATGCACACCGTGACGGTGTGGTGAGGTAAATATTTCATGTAGTTCCTCCAGTCAGAAGCAGTTTCGTTGTATTCAGTTGCCGTTAGAAATTCTTGCGTCTGGCTGTGAATTAGAGGAGACGATTCACCGGAACTTTTTTGAGAGATAGGAGCTACTCTTACAAAGGATTCCATTCCTTGATGATTTACCTGAGAAGAGATTTCTACGTGAACAGCTTAGAAATTGCTTAATAAACAGTGAACCGCTGTAATTACCTGCGCTGATGCTTCATTGAATGAAAGTGATCCATTTTTTCCTGTCACAGTACCAACCATTTCCTGCTGCTTCTGAAGTTACTCATAAATCAATTAAAACAAAACATGCAGGTCTCCAGCAGCGAATACTTACTGTAGTCGAATTGCTTGTGGAATTGTCAACACTGCTTAGTGATCGAATGGATTCACGTTCGATTTGGTCACTCTTTGACATCTAAATGCTCTAAAACTATGGAATCAAGCATGTGATATAACCTGAGTTTCAACCTTGCAATATTTGGAATTTTAGGGATCAAAAGGTTCCTCAGTTTTGTCAATAAGTAAATTCTCATTATAGGAGCCGATTATAGCAATTCTATTATATTTTGGCTAACAATTAGCAGATAATATGGCAACTTATAAAGTTGTGGTATTTTACTGCGAAAAAAAGAAAATAACATGTACCCACAATGATGCTGAGGTATTTGCAAAACTCCGGACCGCAGGTGTGTGCGGTGGGGAACGAACGTGCTATTACCTTTTCCGGGGACTAACGCGTTCAACACCACACCATGCGGGTCCATCTTTTCGCGTGTCACTCAGCTATTATAGTAGGCAAAAAATAAAAAGCATTGCAACGTGTAACAGTTTAAGCGAGACAGTTTCTAATGCGTCACATTAGTAGTTTCATAACAATAAGTCTTACTGAATCGACGGCTGCGGTTAAACTGATCCCAGTTTCACTTATCACGCAATCACCTTTCATTTCATAAGCCTGAAATACATTGTTATAAATTCTCCTTTTGAAGTTGCTCAGTTAATGCAGGTACGTAAAATTTCGCCTGTTCCAGTCTTTCCTTCGTTTAATTCCTTCACCAGCTTTTTTGAAATGAGGTCCGAATATCTGAAGCAGTTTTTTTCCGGTGTTGTGTAAACTGTGAGAATTACCACTGGTCAAAATTGTTCGCTTAACTAACATCTTCAAGTGAACTCACGTAGATAACCAGATTTTGTGTTTTTCCAGGAAAAATTTGTAGCGTAATTCCTGTTGACGGATGAATTCATTAGCTGACGTTTCGATGAACGATTCCAGCTCGGATGTGCTCTAAATAGAAAATCGTAATGATTATGACCAAATAGAAGGTTTGCCCTAAACTCACTGCATACCTTAAGACCTTTGCTGCATTGCTTTCTAATTTTCTTTTCATCTCTTTGGAATTTATTTAGCATGGATTTGAGTTTGTCCTTCTCTTCATTACTATACGCACTAGTTTTTGTCACAAGAGAAGAAAGCTCTCGAATCTATAACTGGTAACTTCGTTGGAAATTTACTCCATAATAGTGGTTCATATTCATGGAACACTTCGTTTTAGTAAGTAAGTATGGTCTTATGAAGAGAAAAATGGAGAAGTTTGACACCCACACATTTTTTGTGCCGCTCCAAAATCTGAGCAGATTTTGCAGCCAGTTCACGCAAATCATCTCCATGTGCTTTGGCTTTCGGGAACGCTTTCTTAGATGACCATATGAGAGTGTCAATAGCTTGCATATATTGATTAAAAGACTTTTGTAGCGCTAGAATTAAACGAAGATTATATGAGTACAGCTTATCAAGAGAATCAACTCAACGTGCACACATTGGTAATTCTGGAGAAGTTCTGAGCCGACATGTGCAATCTCCTTAGCCGCTGTAACAGCCATATTTGCACTTAGTTAATCCTAGTGATAACAGATCAAATTGAGTGAACTTGCCTGGCAAGAAATCCTTGCTTAGTTGAGTAAAGACGTCAGCAGGAATTTTTTCCTTGTCCTCGATTGATAGTTCGTTAAACGTTGAATAGTTAAAGCTTATCCGATTAGAACATGAAACCATTGAAGATCTAGAATGGTTCAACGAGAAATAAGATGTTTTGAGCCCTTATTGAAGTCGAACAATGTAGAAGTCCACTGGACGACACAAGACGAATGACAAATGTAAACGGAAAGAATTGGCAAGCAGTTTATTGGTAGTATTCCATAGTGCGCTCTTAAAAAAGGAAAAATGCTAGAGATCCACGGGACTGGGATGATGTTTATCTAAATAGATCGTGAATTGGAATGCGCAATGGAACTTCATGAAAGTTGTCAGACACATTGAGAACTTTATGTAGTTACTGACATGAAGTTTATTTGGATGTGTGTTATGCATTAAATTCATACGAAGCTGATGCCATAAGATGAGAAGAAGAGTACAGTAGTGATGGTTGTGTGAATGAGAAAAGTAGAAGACCGGGCACGAGTGAAAAAAGGTGTCCAAACGAGAAAATGTCAGCTCTCTAGTTGAGGTTCGTTTGACGTTAATGTAGGATTCGATCTAGAAGTGATTTTGAACCACGAAACTGACAAAGTTTAGGTTATCAAGTAAGAACTGTCAACAAAAGGATACAGCAATCGAACCTACGCTCGTACAAAGAAGGAACTTGGTAAAGCTACGTTGTATCAACAAACGAAGAAGGAATAAAATGTGATAATAGAAAATATTCTGCCAGTACTTTATGTATTACAAAGACATACCACGATCATTTCTAATAAAGTGGTATAAAAACAGCTCCTATGTGAAGCAAATCACGTATTAAGCAAAACTACCGTTTTTAATGAACAACTACAGAGTAATGAAAGTTCGTCGTTTAAAAAGCACTGAACTTATAAATGAAGTAAAAGGAAGTCCTGTGAGAGCCAAAAAATGGGTATAATTCCATTCATTACTGTGAGGCTATGGAGCCTTTTAACTGATAAGAAAAAGCAATCACAGGGCATTTAGCACACGTGTAAGTGTCTGTTTCGATTGCATACGATAAGGTCGGCAATAATTTTCATGGAATGCTTCGTCAGAAATGGAACTTCTGACAGGGTCGTCGCGTTATCGTCACACATGCTGCACTTGCAAATATTTTAATATATCAGACGCCGTCGATATCTTGGTTGACAAAAAATGCTTCACAAAAGAAGTTGTTAGCATTTGAACTGAGCTGCTCGAATGTATGTGGAAACAAAGAAAGCCTACAAGGAGCTCTCCGCAATGAGTACAAGTCAGAGCTATATAATACAATCGATTTACAAGAACTAGCAAAACTTTTTTGCAGTCTAATCCAATTAATGCCTTGGCTGATCTTGAGGCATTCGTGGTAGTTAAAATGTTCACAAGTCTTGTGAATTGACATAGTTCTCTTTATGGAAAACTTTTAATAATCATGCTATCTACCGTCTAGTTATTCCAACATTGTCGCAGATATGCTTTTGCTGTCACAATTCATTCACGTGATTCCACTATAGGAATCCATGAGTTTCCTACGGTAAGCAAGACGACTGATGACTCACTCTGTTAAAGAGCATGTTTACTCACTTCTACGCAGAATCGAGTAGAGCTATGGCACCAATGTTCTCAACCCATCTTCAACCTTACTGCTGTGCACTTGATACTGTTTTGTAAACGAACTTGAGACGTGAACGTAATTCTTTCTTATTTTATTCTTCTACCACTCAAAAAGTCGTTCCACATCTTCCCAACCCCACTAACATCTGCTGGCGGATTGCCATGCAGGTTATAGGAAAACTAAATTCAAATTAGATATTAGTAAGTAGACAAATTAATTAGACAGTAAAACGTTACCAGTCACTCCCTGATATACATTTGCTCTATAGCAACTATTCTCAAAATAATTTCTGTTTCTTTCTATATCTATATCTATATCTATCTATATCTATCTATCTCTCTACTACTGTATGTTTCTGTAGTAAGGATCATATCCACTGTTTCTTAAGTTGCCTAGCAAATGTAGTAGAACGTAAATATTTTGCTCCCATCCTAAGGAACATCGATCGTTATAAACAGCCTTGTTATGCAAATCTATTTTTGCAATCTGAACTCGTTGTTTGTTACTACTGTCCGAAAGTCATCATGCGTACAATAACAAGAAGGGCATGAGGGTGTTTGCCAAAGCAGTCTTCCGCCAGCTGATCTCTGGTTCTGAGAGGATTTGGAAAGGCTAGCCGACGAATGTTTTCGGTAAAGGTGCTGGAACTGTGCCAAATACCGCCTTCTCCAGAGGCACATAAATAACCTCGTGAATTACTATCATTGCTCGCTCCTGTCCAGGTTCGTGGCTATCCAGGTTCGTCCCCTATCCTCGTTCCTCTCCTACCCTCGTTTTTCCCCTATTGATCTCGTGTGTCACCTATGTAGATTATCGTAGTTGTTAACTCATATTGCACGTGGTCATTATTGTATAATAGTTTCACTCTACCGTTATTATAGCACAGTCGCGAATTGTGCATTAACTTCATTTCATCATTATTGAATGACAGTTTCGAAGAATTGTACGTTAACTTCGCATTATTGTTACTACATCACGCTCCCAATCAGCCCAGTGTATCCTTATCATTATCCTGATCCTTATTCTCTTGTCAGTGTTCGTTGCTTATCAATTGATCCGCGGTGCGTTGTCAGTAACGAAGGTTATCCTCAAATGCGTTTTGTCTGCAACGGCATCGGTAACATGTGTCATTTCTCCCATACTGTACGCTATGCGTACAAGGCCGGTGACCGGCCAACTGATGCTATGTATGTTATGCCACTATAGTCGGATATCAGTTCTCAATTGCATTATTTATGACCCAAGCTATTTCTTAGGCAATGGTGGCACCTATCGATGCTCAGACTTCACGCTGCAGACATATCGTTATCCAAGACCAACCGCCTGACCGTGTTCCTCAGATGTCTCCTTCCGTTCTTAGTCACTTCCACCACCGATGCCTAGGTAACTTGCTATCCTAGCTGTTCAGTGTCAAAGTACACCTGAGCACTGTATATATGATCTTTAGCTTAGCTTAGTGAACGACTCGTCTGCATCTCTGCCATCGGCATCCTTGCCACTGTACGTGCCATTGTAGGCGCCATCATCCGCATCCCCTTGTTCGCCATTGTTATCAGGTTGCTATTATCACTGTGTTAATATTATAATTGCATCCTAAACTGTTGTGGACTTATTAGCTTCACTTCATTAGTAGTTATAGCGCCTCATATTCTTGGACATGCCCTGGTCTTACGCCAGTATTTTCGTATCGTTATTCTTGTTGCATTGGTGTTGCATTTATATATATAAACGGTTTAGTCACCCAAGTTTGAGGCATTGTTTTGTGACGACTACGAAAAGTCCCACGTGGCGTCATCTCACGAAGTCGAGCATTTTGCCTAAAACTAGTGGATATTCGGTGCCGAGAACTGACTCGAAGACCTTTTTCATTGGCAACTGCAATATGCTGAATCGAAAGGTCAAGCGACATTGAAAACTTCCCATGTATTGCATTATTGATACATACTCTTTCATTTAACTCCTTTGGCTGCTAAAATTTCTTCTGTATGACTCTCTTATTAAGAATTCCGTGATACTTTACCGGAGAGAACAGGAGTGGATAACTGCGAAAAAACCGACGGTGCAGTTTTGAGATTCCACGAAGGACTGCACGAAGAGACATCTTCGCCTTGATCTTCGAACCTTCGGTTTTGAAAGAAAGTATCAAAAAGTTTAAAGATGGACCTTTCTCATTTGTATAACAGATTGTCCAGAATTATGGAAAGCCATAGCGGGGTATAATTTATGCATTCTAAGTACCACCTTTGAATTGAGAGAAAAAAAGCCTTCGTATAAAACATACCCAAAGGAAGAGCCTGGAGGAAGGAAATCGTTTGAATCTGTCTCCGGCTAGGGAGGACGTTGGCTAGTGTCGAGAAGGAAAATTTGAGGCTTGTTCAAAATTCGCTACGATGCAAATAGCAAGTTGTGAAGGCAGGAGAAGGAGGCTTACTATTCTCTGTCGGCCATGATTTGCCATTCCTTAAGGTAAGGCTTTTGGTACATGATAATAACGTGTTGAGTGTTTTTCTTTACTTACATAAATAAACAAAAAGCAAAAACAGGAGCAACACATCTTGCCACCTTTAAATTTAGTGAAAATATGCTTGTTTGTAACATCGTCAAATTTGGTGGTAAGGTGTGCTAACGAAGAAATCAGGCTCTCCGTTTCTCTACTATCGATTCATCAGCAGAAACATTATTTTCCGCTTTCACAAACGGTATTCAGGTGAAGTGTCTTGGATGGCGAAAACAACAACAACATCAACAACATTCAATTTTAAAATATCAAAGTATGTCATTTCATCACCTGTGCCACCTGTCATTACGTTGGCTGCTGGCCGTCACAAACATTTTCCAGGGTTCTTGTGAAGAACTCTGAACATCGGCTTAGCTTTCTTCCGCCTCTGCGTTTGACATGCCGGGAAATCCAGTAGCTAATAATTATTGTCCATTGGCTATCGTTTAGACGCTTTGGGCGTCCAGCCCAATAAATCGACAACTAAACGTATAGGATTTCGACATTTGGCTGTCGTTGTAGGTCGGAGCTTCAGGTCCCCTCTCCCAATTGTGTGGAATTGGATCATCGTATCATCGTCTTTCGATTGCGCTTTCATAAAACCAAGTGAAGATTCATCTTACTCAGGTAGCAACCATATTTCTGTTGCACACGTACACGTTAAGATGGAGGGAAGCGTGGAGTCTAGAAGTTGGGCACGGAGTCGGGTGTATTTTGTTCTTCTTAGTACACATTTTAGTTCCATCAGCCCTCGCTTCCTCAAGCACAACTAAGGACCTAAGTAGGTCACT